CGGGTTGTATCAAACTGAACAACTCCAGTCGATTTCTTCCTAAAGCCCAAATATGTTCTCTTCAGGGCACCTTCGCTCTCATTCCACTCAACGAGGAAAGAGTCTCCATCTTTACTCGTCCCACAAGAAAATAATCTGAAAATACAGCAACTGTTTAGTTAATATGAGCTTTTATAAACTGTTCAGAAGAGTTTTAATTTATGGAAATAAGAATGATGTACCTGCTTCCATCAGCACTGTATAGCATTGTTGTACACCACTGTCCTGGTGCGTCGTAATCAACCCGAGAACCAACATTATCATAGAGCCAAGCCTTAATCTTACCATCAAGGGCAGTTGAGAATATAAACTGCATAGTAAAAAATAGAAGAATATATTACAAAAAAAAAAAAAAAAAAAAAAAGTGAAAGCTTCAGGTTTTCTAAAACAAGAGATACAAGAGATGTTTGTACCTGAATGTTTTCTTTCTGGTGAGGGCAAATGGAATAAACCGGTGCCTCGTGGCCTTCAAAAGTGTAAAGCTTCTTCCCACTCAAATCCCACACCTAAGAAATCTTATAATTAGACACAGAAACAAAAATAAAAACCTTCAAAGTCACAATCTTTACACACCTTAATCAATTTGTCATCCCCACAAGTTACAACACACATTTGTTTGTTTGGGTGGGCAAACGCCAAGTCATTCACACAGCCTACATGAGCATCAATCTAATACGCAGAAAGAAATGAATGATGAAAGTTCAACACAAATGAAACAGAGACAAAAGAAACTAAGTACAAAAGAGTAGATTAGACATGCCTCGAGGTGTTGGCGTAAGTCCGAGCCTTGGTAGGCATACACATGGATCAGATGTTTAGTAAACGAAATCCCTGTACACGGAAAATGATACCCAAGTTCAAATCTCGTGTCTACTTGAGACTACATCTACATCTTTTAAACAGTTTTTGGGAGAACAATACCAATCAAATTTCCATCTGGGCTCCATGCTACACGAGTGACAGATATCGATGGGTCTTTAACAATACAGCCCTATGAAAAAAACGCCATCATCACATTAAAGAAAAGTCATATAGTTAAATTTTTATCTCAAAGCTGGATTAGCTTAGTGTTAAAGTATGTTTCTAGAAATTGTAATAAAAACGATAGAGAAAGAAGGAACAACCTGAAAGATACCAGAACAAGCAGCCATATTCCATATCTTGAAAGGCTCTGTGACAACTTTCTCTCTGGATCCAACTTCCCACAAGGTGACTTCGCCGCTTGAACATCCAACTACAAGCAATAGACATGTTATAACAAGATCCAACCAATAAGCTCAACCCTAATAATCTTTTCATGGTGGCAAAGGACTAACCAGCGAGCAAAGTGTGATGAGAAGGGTGAAAATCCATGGTTATCACCACCGACCCTTGGCGAATTGTACTCACGACATTTCTAGGGAGGTCGTCAAGTGATGCAGCTGGATGAGAGTGAGTAGGATATGTGACCTGTGATTAAAAAAAAAAAAGTAGAGCCAGATACTAAACATCAAAACACATACTCCAAAGCAACAAGAGCTTATTTTGCTCATTAAGCATTACAAAAACAAGGGAAACCTCAAAACAAGTACCTCGTTGGAGGTTTGTGCAGACCGTAAGCGTTTCATGAGTTGTTCATGTTCAGGATTTTGATAATCCATCAATCCTAGAGAGTTTGACGGTGCCCGAGGGTGTTTCAGCACATTAACTATTACGAGGAAATACAACAACAGATTTCAGGTCTTAGTATTTATTTCCTAACAACTCTAATATAACAATTAGAAGCCCCAAAGATACCATAATATCCAAAACATTAGAAACATCTAATATACCTTGACTTGGCTGCATAGGAAATGGGGATGCAGCCACGACACCAGATGGTACTGATGAAGAAGGATTTGGGTTTGCCATCCATCCAGCTAAAGCATTGGCATTAGGAGCTGGAGCAGGACTAGGTTGAAAAGGCTGCACAGATCCAATGGTTTCCATCAACTCTCAAAATCTAAACATAAAGTTATAAACAGAATAGGTGGAAGTGAGTAAGTGATCATACTCCACCATGTACTCCAAGAGGAACAAAATTTGAAGGTCTTGCAACAGCGGCAACTGGAAGATTCACAGGAGTGAGAGCACGAGCATCATTTGCTGGTGAGCAAGAGTGATCCAAGAACAATGTCTTGATGTCAGGATTAGGCCTTGGATTTTTACAAAGCTGGTGCTGCCAGTTCAAGCTGCAATTTCCCAAAATACACATGTCACACACTTAAACTCATCATCTCTATCAAGAAAGACAAAATTGACCCTTGTAGTTCACCTTTGATTGATCAAAGTTCGCAGGCGAGAAGCTTTGAAACTGGGGAAGGCAAGCTTCTCCCGAAACAGAGGATTTGCTTCAATCAGTTTCTTCAACTCAGTGTACATTATAGACCTCGCAGACTTTGTATCACCATATTTCGACAATTGTTCATTTTCCCTAAGAAAAATACAACAACACACTCGTCAATACTTAAGTGACAGCCTTTCAAAATTCGATTACATCAAAGGCAAAAGCAAAAAAAAAAAAAAAAAAAAAAAAAAAAAAAAAAAAAAAAAAATCACCTAAAATTCTCCAGAGTTAGAAGCTGAGTAATCTCCTTGTAAAGCTCCTCGTTAAATGTGGCGAACACTTTCAAGTCTTTGGCTAATATTTCAACAGCTTTCGCTCTGTCGTTCCTGAATAAAACAACACACAAAATGCATTAAATCAGGAACACGAAGCCTGTCTTAAAATCCGACCAAACAACAAGGAAAAGCAGGAGAAACCATTACCGATCTAGAGCTTCGAGATACTTTTGCTTCCTAATCTCAAAGAAGATTTTCATAGAGTAACGATTATCATCGACTTTAGTGAAACCAGAGAGATACTTCTCCACTTCATCCCACTCTCCAGCAAGAGCTTTCTCTTCAAAGTACTTAATATTAAAGTAGAAGCCAGATTCTTGCTCTAACCTAGAGCACATCAACCAAATTTCAATTCATCCAAACATCAAAATTACGCAAAGGAACCAAAGAACCAGTGAATAAGCAACAACAACAAAAAAATACAAAAAAAAATACAAAAAAATACTTACTTGTGAACAGATTCCTTAAACTTCTCTTCATCTAAGAACTGAAGGATTAAGAAAACTAACTCTCTGCTCAAAGACGACATTTCTACCAAACTCTCAGAACAAGAAATTCAAGAAAATTTAAGCGATCTGGGGTTTTCTTGAAAGAAGGGTTGGTCAAAGTTTGTGAAATCGATTCAGTCGTTGTTGGAAATGGTTTTCTAGGGTTTCTAGTTCTCCATTTCCTCGCGTCGCAAAGCCAAAAAGAAAAGAAAAAAATGAAGAAAAGCTGACCCCAGAGAGAGAGGTAGAAATCTCAAATTTATATTACTTAAGAAAAATAAAAAAGAAAAAGAAAAAAGTACGACTTGTTCTCCACTTTCTTCGATGCGTTTTGTCACACAGACTGTAGTTTGATAAGCTACTTAGCTTATCACTGATAAGCGCTTCGGTTATCTTATAACTTGATAACCTCGTTTGCCTAGGCTGTTTGGTCTGATCCCTTTGCTATGGCTTCTATCTCATGTGGTTGAGCCCACCGAAGTCATACGTGGGGGATGCAAGAGGTATTGTCCGAATGTGACTTGTCGTGACACGTGTCTGGCTCGCGATGCGTTTCCCCGGAATAAATCGGTGGGCTGCAAAGCACTGGAATTTGAACCCTTTGGTGGATCATGTCACGCGGATTCGAGAAACGGAATTGAACTGAATTGAGCAGAGTTAAACTGGCGTCCGCCACATGTTGTTGCCTTGTTAGGGGGAATGACGTGGTCTCGATATATTCGCGTTCATCTCGGAGCGTGAGTTTATCGTGAGAAATATATATAGATATCATCATCCTTTAGCAACCGAGTTGAGAGCGACTGCTATAATGGCCGCGACCAAATCCAGCCAATAATAATACTTTCCTTTTTTGCTTTGATTCGACCATTAATATTAAAATTAGTTCTAATTAAATAATGTAAGCTATGAAAAAAAAAATATATAAACTTGTTTTAAACATATTTTCAAACATATTAAAATGGAACATTTAATGTGTGTGACCTTTTATTGGTAGATCAATTTAGCTATAAAGTCATAAATAATAATGTTGTAAACATCTAATTTTCTTTTGATCAAGTTCAAAAATAATCAAAAAATTCCTTTTTTTTATTGACAAAAATCCAAAGAAATTTAAAGTTACACCACAATTAAATAATCAAACAAATTTTAAAGAAAGATGCTATTGAAAATGAGTTTAGCGCGTTTTTGCGAATTCAAATCCTAATATATAAATTATTATTGATCCAAAAACAAATGAGTTTCGCGCGTTTTTTAAAATTTTAAAATTTAATATGTAAAATATTATTGGGCCAAAAGTTAATAATTAAAAAAATTTCCAAAGCATGGAATAAATTTTATGAGGATAACACACAAAAAAGGAGTGGTTGTAACCTTTTTGTATGCACATAAGACATAAAATAAACTAGTAATTTAATTACACAAACTCTCTAATCATAAATCATCCACATGGCTAGGCATGCATGTCAAGGTAAGAAAAATATTATTACAAAAAAATGTATGAATAAGAATCTAATGCTTAGTATCAAACTAAATAAACGGAGAAGCCTTTTTCGTATAATTGTCTTGTGTGTAAATTGTAATCCATAAGATAAATACGTCTCCCACTCTGAGAACTACTTGGATAAAAAAAAAAAAAAAAAAAAACTGATCAATTTTGTTGGAGTTTTACCAACTAGCTAAAGCTTTTCTTTCTCCATAAGCTAGTTAAGTTAAATTTGCTACTATGGTTGTGTTCTTAGAAATGCGTCGGCATACATCATCGAGCTTCATTCCTGATTATGGCAATGCAAGACGAAATATATAAATTGGTTTAACAAAACTCTCTCATCCATAATGGTATGGTATCAATGTTTGCTGTTGATGTCGACGAAGTCCATCACTAGATTTAGAAGCCCACTAATATTCTGAAGTCCACTATTAGCCCATTAGGTCTCTATGACTTGAACTGCCGCCAGACGCTACATACGGAAGATATCAGAAAAAAGGGAAAAGAGTTTTCAAGCTTTGACCTAACTTGGAGATGAAGGATTCAACAACGGCGATGGAACAAGTTATTCAAGCATCGGAGCTTTACAAAGAAGCACATCCGTAACTCAAGAGTAGCAAAGAAGAAGAGAGAGTTTATGGCAATCATGATGATGGATTCTAGTCTTTATCTAATGAGTGTTGGAATTCACAAGGACGACGATGACAACAACAACGTTGAATCATCTATAGAGCGGAAAGGTAAATTGATTAGCATAAACGATGCAAACGAGAAAAATGATTTCATACAAAGTTTTTGCAACACATTAGAATTGATATGACTCTTCTCCTTAAACCAAACATCATATGGTCCAAATGTGGCAGAAAGAAAAGACACAAGTACCAAAAGGTCCAGCACCCTACAACATCAAAGGAAGTTTTACTTATGCAATGAATGCTACTAAGCCCGGTAGTATTCTGAAGCCCACTATTGGTCCAACAGCTTTCGTCTTCTATGTTAAATGTACCGCACTTGACCTAACTTGGAAAAGACTGATTCAAAGATGGCGATGTCCGATCTTACACAGGATTTGGTAGAGGAGGTGTTCTTGAGAGTTCCGTTGACTTCTCTTAGAGAAGTGCGGTCTACTTGCAAAAACTGGTACACTTTATCCAAAAATTTGAGCTTTAGAAAGATACATGACCTTGAAGCAAAGGCAGCAACAAGGAAAAGGTGTCCGGCGATCATGGTAATGGATTTTAAGGTTTATCTAATGAGCCTTGATCTCCGTGTTGAAACATCTATAAAGCGACGAGGTAAATTGATTAGCCTAAACGATGTAGATGGAGTCAGTATATCTAGAGTCTTCCACTGTAGTGGTTTGTTATTATGCATCACCAAAGGATATTATTATCAGAGGCTTGTGGTTTGGAATCCTCGTTGTGGACAAACAAGGTGGATTGAACATAGAGATTCTTCTGACCAAAGAAAGGACAACTATGCTATCGGATACCAGACGAAGAACAAATCGCATCGAATTCACAAGATTTTGAGATATTTTGATGTTCAAGACAAGAGTGTAAGGATTCCATATAGTGCGTTTCAAATCTACAATCTCGACTCTAACTCATGGGAGGTAGTTCATAAAACACCTCGCTGGAATCTACCTTTTTCATCAACGTGGCGGCGTGTCTCTCAAGGGGAATACTTACTGGTTTGTTCAAAGTAAAAATCTAGGAGGTTATTGTTTTTTACTTTGTTTTGCTTTTACAACGGAGAGATTTGGACAGGCTCTGAGTATGCCTATTTACCCTGTTGCTGAAGATACTGTGAGTCTATCTAGTGTCAGAGATGAGCAGCTTGCAGTGTTATTTCAGCGGCGTGGTTCATCACATATGGAGATATGGATTACGGAGGAGATTGAGCCTAGAGAGGTGTGTTGGAGGAGCAAATTGTTCGTAGCGGTGAATATAAATCCACTTACTTGTTTTCAATTCCATGGGAGTTTCTTTGTTGACGAGGGGAAGAAAGTCGCGGTGATTTTTGGTAGAGACATGGATGAACATGACCACGTTCGCTACGCAGCGTATGTCGTCACTGGAAAGGATGGGTACTTGAAAAAAGTGGATCTTGGAGAATCTACATTTGAACGTGGTTCCCCACTTATGTGCTCTTCTTATGTTCCAAGCTCAGTGCAAATCAAGTAAACCGCACCAAGAGATTTGATTAATTTACAAAGCCTACTCTCTTACGTTTTAGTTTTGTCATCTTTGCCATTCTTTGGTCATTAATTTGTAAGTCAAGACCATTAATTATTAGTATCACTTAGCTGGCTTCTCAAAACCGTATCTGCTATATTCTCACATCGTGAAAGCTCGATCTCATTAGCAATTAGATGAAAAGAGAGAAGTAATAACCATGGCACCATTACTCTGTTTTGCACATGCATGTTAAACAAGAATAAATATTTCATACCATGTTTCCGCAACAACATGATGAGCTCGAAAACCAAGGAAAAGAGAGTATACCAGAATTGATATGTGCACACTCTTTAAATCAACATCGTATGACGACGGTATGAGTCAAATGTGGTAGAAACCGACGGTATGAGTCAAATGTGGTAGAAACAAAGTCACAAAGTACCAAAAATCCTACAACATCAGAGGAAAAAAAGATTTGATAGTAAACCGAGATGTTAATGATTTTGACGCAGAATCGGACCGGTTTAATGGCAAAGCAGTAATTTTAAAGAACGGGAACCTAATTTTGGTACTTGTCTTGTGTATCGCCGTCTCTCTCTCTCTCTTTGTTCACTCAAAAACCCTAGAGATTGATTGTAAAACCCTTTCTCTATCTCTTACACAGACACACCATTACAGTTCAACTCTAGTTTATTTGTTTTTGTCAACAATGTCTTCCAAAGGTCTGAAATCGCAGAAATCGACCAAGAGGAAGGTTACCGAAAGCTCCGACAAAGTCGATTCTCTGAAATCGAAGAAGCCAAAGCTTGTGTCTGAAGACCAAAATGGTAAACCTAAATTTGGTAAACCAAAGTCTGCTGGAGATAAGGAGCAGAACGTTTCACTATCGAAGAAGGAGCTTCGTGTACAAGCTAAGGTAAACTTTTTCTATGTCTGATGATTTAAGCCAAGTTGAATTAGAATTTGGTTTCTGGTTCTTGATGTGTTTTGGTTTCTGGCTCTTGATGTGTTTTGGCTTGGGTTGCAGGAGCTAGCACAAGCTAGGAAGAAGAAGAGGAAGCCTCATTACACTCTTGAGCAAGTATGTAGCTTTTTGTGAAATTGAGATTTCTGGCTTTAGTTATTGTTACAGAGGATTGATAAATTGTATTCCTCAAGCGTGTTCAGAGTATAATGGTTTCATCTTCATATTTTTCACTCTTGCAAACAAAATTAGTGTACTGATCACTCTTTCATACTATATGACCTAACAGGAGCTTGCATCTCTATGGGAGAAGATGAGGCGTCGTGACATTGGCAAAGAGGATCGATCGAAGTTAGTATACAATAAAGGATGCGTTAGATTCTCTGATTTTAAAAGTTTATATTCTGTTGATTAAACTCTCTTTTTTAAACTCTATTTGTTAGGCTAATATCTGAAGCTGTACGAAAGATGAAGGGGAAGATTCCAGAGATTGCAGTCTCACATGTTTCATCCCGTGTACTCCAGGTCTGTTTTTGCATTTTCGAGTTTTATGGAAAAGGCTACCAAATCCCTAAAGAACATATATCTTACAAATATTGGTTTTTTTTCTTCCATGTTACGTAGACCTGTGTGAAGTTTTGCTCACAAGCTGAAAAAGATGCTATGTTCACGGAACTCCAGCCAAACTTTCTTAACCTTGCTATTAACAAATATGCTATTCACTTTATACAGAAGATGTTGGATGGAGGTAAGGCTCTAGATTCAAGTTGAATATATACAGCTAGTTGCTTGCTTATAAAAACTGTTAATTTGAGGGATTTATTTGTGCAGCATCTAAGCAGCAGCTGGCAGCTTGTATATCCAGCCTCCGGGGACATGTTGCTTCTCTCCTCCGTCACGTGTTCGGATCTGCTGGTATGTAGGCTACTGTTGTAACATAGTTACGTTTCAACATATATATGATTTTGGACGACTTGCTTACACAAAATAATCTTATATGTCATATGAAGATGCACATAGCTTTTTCAGTTTCTTTTGAAGCTCACTTTTGCTTTGTTTTTTAATTTTCCTCGAGTTGTGGAGCATGCATACCATTTGGGATCTGCAGCACAAAAACAAGAACTTCTTGCAGAACTGTATTCTACAGAGCTTCAGTTGTTCAAGGGCTTGACCTCAGCTACCGAAAAAAGGTAAAATTTCATTTATCTTCATTGTCTTACTCTAGCGTATAAGAAATAGAGAAGCAAGGTCTCTTGTATTTTTTTTTTTATCTTGATATCTGGAGAGCTAGGAATCCATCAGCTTCCATTTTTGTTATTTGCGATGGTAATTACAAACTCGATATTACTATTTACTGTCATGAGTTGAACTTATATTAAGCGTTATTGAATGTGGTTCAGCGTGGTAGATATCATCGCTAAGCTAGGATTGCAAAAAGGCGCTGTTAACAGACACATGACTAAAATTATCCAACCAATTCTTGAGAAGGGAATTGTCGACCACACTATCACACACAAGTTGCTGATTGAATACCTGACAATAGCTGATAAGGTATATATATGTGAGTGAAATTTGATTTGCATTACATTGTTCTTATTATATACTAAGTGTATCTGTTTCCGTAGACTTCTGCTGCAGATGTGCTTCAGCTACTGACAGGCCCCCTTCTTTTGCGTATGGTTCATACTCGTGATGGTTCTAGGCTTGCCATGCTTTCTATCAAACATGGAAGCGCTAAGGTACACATTCTTTATTTTAAGTACTGAGTATCTTTTTTTCTTCTACTAGTTAACCGATAATTCAAGGTATTATTATGGGTGGGTTTCATTTGTATATCTCATAAGGTTTCTCTGGAACAGTTTGAACTGATTTCTTTTCTTTTGAAGTACTCAGAGCCTAAGTATTTCTTTCCCTTCTAATTGTTGTATATGTAGATCGTGATTTAAATGTAAATATCAAAACAAATTTGTAAACAGATTTCATGGTTGACATCCATTTTGACATCTAGTGGAAAGGATTGATGGTGGAGGTTTCATAGGAAACTTATAAGTTGAACTTTTGCTCTGTCTAAATCACATTTTCTTGCAGGAGAGAAAGAAGATTATCAGAGAAATGAAAGAGCGTGTTATAAAGATGGCTTCTGATCAGTTCGGAAGTATGGTAAGGAGGCCTTTAATTATTTTCATTTGGATTTACCACTTATAATCCTTCACTGTCGGTTTGTATTTGTCTTTCAGATAATAACCCCTTGTCTGTCTACCATGTATTCTCAGGTGCTTGCATGTATTTTTTCAATAGTTGATGACACAAAGCTCGTTTCCAAGGTAGTTTTACTGAGCCAAATAATAGATTGCTGGAATCTATATGCTTATGTTCTGAATCTTGTTCAACCATACACAGATAATTGTCCGTGAGCTTGAGCCCAGCCTAAAGGATCTTGTTATGGACAAGGTTTGTGCTCTTTATATATGAACATATTCTGAGAGGAAAGTTTACCTTATATTTTCTTGGATCTGATGACTTCTATTTTGTTATTTTCTTCCTTAACGTTTGCTTCAAAATTGTGTCTGCAGAATGGTAGGAGACCGCTATTGCAGCTTTTGCATCCGAATTCTTCACGTTATTTCAGCCATGATGATTTGGCCTCTCTTGATCTGTCTGTACCATCACTCTGCTCAATGGTATGAAGATATATATCCCCAACTATCTTGTCAATTAAAATGCTAGAATTATTCATTCTTCTGAATTTCTTTCTACTAAATATAAACCTGTCAATATTTTCCATTCAACTTCAGGATAAGTCAGAGATATCCTCTCAAACAAAGGATACAGATGGTAACGAATCTGGTGAGGAGACGAAGGATGAAGAAGAAGATACAGTAACCGAACATGGTGATAATGAAAAAAACGTCAAAGCTGCAGGTGGTAAAAAAGATCCCCTTGTGAGAAGACAGGAGTTGCTCGTCAACAGTGGCCTTGCTGAGGTGTGTGTGACGTGGTGACTCAGTTTTCAGTTTCTTGATTGTTTTTTTTAATACAATGTTTCAACTTTAGTTGTATTCCTTCTCATGGATCATTCTTGATTTGCTGCACAGAGGCTTATTGATGTGTGCGTGGAGAACGCTGAGGAATTCCTGAAGTCTAACTTTGGCAAAGAGGTCTTGTATGAGGTACTGAAATTTTTTTTCTCACATCTTTGGTCTGTTTTAGTTCTGTTATAAGGGATAAACAAATTCTTCAGTATAATAAAAAGGCATAGAATTTTTGGGAAACAAACAGAATCTGTAACCATTTAACTTGTAGATACCAATTTTTCACATAAAATATGTTAAGATAGGTACTCGTGTACTCTGATCTACCTTTGGGTAGATACTCGTATACTCTTAATCTACCTTTGGCTAGATAATCATAGTTTACCTTTCATAAGAGAGCTACTTTCATTCAATTTTTCTTGAAGTTCAACCACTCCTCTGATGAATTTTATGTCTTTATAACAATGCTAATTTCCAGTTTTTTTTCTTTCTTATTTATTGTCATGATCTTCTTCTTAGCTAATCTCTAGTCTTCCTCATTTTCACCTTTCTTTTGTATCAGATTGCAATTGGAGGCTCTGATGGTATTCTTTGCCCATCTCTGAGCGAGAAGCTGTGTGAGCTGTACGAAGCTATTAGCTCTGTAGCAGCAAAGCCGAAACCTCAAGAATCTAAGAAGGATTCAGAGCACATCTTGGAAAACTTTCACTCAAGTCGGACCATAAGAAGGCTTGTCTTGGATTGCCCTGGTTTTGCGTCCACTCTCTTTAAGAAGGCCTTGTCTGGAAAATGCCGGTCGTGGGCTGCAGGACACTGGTTAGTTAGCCTAATGACTCCTCTCATACATTCATTTATCTGCAAACAAGCAGCTTATTTTTTTTATTTTAAGTCTTGAAATCTTGTTCTGTTTTAAATCTCATCTTTTTTGCAGTTCAAAGATCCTATCTGCTTTCCTAGAGACTGAAGATCTTCAAGTTCGTGAGATGGCTAAAACAGAGCTTCAGGTGTTGGTGAATGAAGGTACTTTGAAAATGTCAGCAAGCAAAAAACCTGAATGAGGCAGCAGGCAGCATTGTTGAAACACTTGGCCCGGCTGTGTTCTCGACGAGTGCTTCTGAGACTAGAAAAGACCTTCAAATGTACACATACGATAGAATATAATGGAAGTAACAAAATGCGGTTTCAGTTTTTTCTTTCCCAACAGGTTACTAGGTTTCAGAATTGGGAATCTGGCCTTTGGCAAATTTTGTCCTTTCTTCTTCTGTAGTTTATCTTCCTGCAACGTTAAAACAGCGGTTACAAGAATGGCTCTTCTCGTAACTCAAACCCAATCGTCAATGGCCTTTGTTTTTTAAAGTTTATGATGTCATTGTCTCACATAGTTGGCTAGATTCTCATAATCCAGCTTACTTAGATTCTCATAATAAGGGACTACTATTGAATATTGAGCGGAGCTATGCATGTGGTTCACTGCTTAATCCCCTAGAGAATTGTGTAGTAACGTTTTGCTGCCAATACAATGATCAACATATGAAGTATGAACCATTACATGCCAAAATTTACAAAAAAAAATAAATGATGAAACTCTTAAGTCTCCCATCACAGTAAATATTACTCTTATGTAAAAACGTATTCTGTATATAACATTTTCTTTGTTCATTGACGCTCAAAATACATTGATAGATGTATATATATGTAAGAGAAGCTAAAGAAGAGTTAAACTAACAAGGGCGAAAGAAGAGACAGAGAACAGAAATATCATCCATGGCGATGCTTCTTCTCTTCCTACGCCAAAGCACCACAGCTCTCTCTACTAATCTCTTTGCGCTCTTTCTTCTCTCTTTGACTCCTCTTACTATCTCCACTGCCTCATCGTTCGTCATCACATCCCACATCTACAATACACACACATACATCGTTACACAGTTATACATGTGTTTATCAATCTTGATTTTGATACACAAATGTGAGTATATTGATACATTACCCCATCGGTGGCCAAGATGAGGAACTGGTCCTTATCGGTTATCTTTCGGTATGTTACTTCCGGTTCAGAGACTAAACCGAAGTCTTTAAGGCAGTAATCTCCGAATGCTCTTGAAACAGCTAAACCGAGTGATCCTCCATTCGGCATACCCACCCGGTACACTCCCGGTTCATCGTCTAGGCAGAACAATCGTCCATCCGATTGTTTAATCCGTTCTGCTTCCTCTGTTTTGATCACATACCGATTGTTAATTTCTACTTAATCGACTCTTTTCATCTGAATAGTTAAATTGTAAATATGGAAAGGCTTCTAGAATTATACCGGGAATGTTTGGTTTAAAGTCTACCGAGAGCTGAACCGGCACTAAACCGCTTCCGTCATCAGAAGTTGTTGCTAGTACAGCTCGTGAGTCACCAGCATTTGCTATAACAAGGTGATCACCCTTAAAATACCAAAAACAAAATTTAACATTTAGTAATGTTAAATACTCTCCAACTATCTTTTACATGGAATCTATATCAAAATGCCATGTAATGAATAGTTTTTGTATGGGTTACAAGAACATATATGTACCTGTAAAACAGCGGTTAGAGCGGTGCAGCCGCTGCAGTAAGAATCAATGGAAGGATTAATCTTGAGATCAAGATCGATGACGGAGAATGTTTTCAGGCAAGCTTGCTTCCAGAGATCCAACGGAGAGGAACATTCCGGCGACGATGATAAGGAAGCAAGAGTTTGTTGCCATTGGCAAAGCAGAGAAGATGGAAATGATTTTTTAACTCTTTTGGCTATCACATGTCCCCATGGTCCATGCCCATCAAACATGCCACAAAATGTTATATCTTCTTGGCATCCAAATCCCTTCATATTGTGTAACATAAAATTCATAAGCACAAGATTTAACTTCTTAACAACATATAAGATTGCTACATGTCGTGATTCCATTTCAACATATAATGTTATAACTATTATAATCCGTTACATGGAAAGAAGAATTACCTAACATATAGTTTTTTTTATATAAAGTGTACCTCCCAAACAATAGCACGATCTTGGTTGATTCCTTTCTCACCTCTATTAGAACAAATAGAGGTAAATCTCTTAGAAATTTCCGAGCTAACAAATCCCGAAGTACCGAGCAAACTCGAGTTCTTCTTCGAGTCTTTGATCATCGATTTTGCGATCTCTCTCCCTTTATCTTCATCTCCCGGAGGATTTTTGCCTTTCTTTGTCGATACGGTTCTCGCAAATCCATCCAAAAAAGCCGGTAAAAGCACCATACTTGAATTCTCTTATGATCCTACAAGTTACAATATATACACAACTTTAATTCGTAAGTTACAAATTGCTGCGAGTCATATCATGTGTGATAAGATAATTTAGGTATCTTTTGTGAACATGATTATTCTTTCAGCTTTTGAGTTACGTACGTGATGAAAAGAATAACCAAGAAAAAAAAAGAAAAGAGAAGAGCATCCAAAAACGAAAACAACAAGAGAAACAAAAAAAAGAAAGAATCGGAGGCTTAATTAATACCTTTTACTCGCTGGTGAAATAATGAATATTCTTGATCGGAGTTTCTCTGTTGAATATATTTATCATGTTTTGGTGTGGATTTACTAGTACTACTTATAAGCTTGGTGAATGGTCTCTATGACTCATCATCATCTTTCGCTTTCTCTCCGACTATTCTAATACATATGATATACACATATATACATTCTTTTTGCATGTCGATAAGGACACGTATATGTTTTGCATAAAGTTGACGACAGTTTTTTTCTTTAGTATATAATAATATAATTATAGTTGAATGTAACAAATGGGTTTATATATTTTGGTAGTTTTAAGAAACGCATATGTATTTTCCAATGATTAAATTGAATGCAACATATCCTTACATATCAAAATTTTGTTAGTTAGAAGGAACTAGGAAACTAAGAAATTATTTGTTCTACTCAAACATATCAAAATACACATGGACTAAGGAAACGATTCAAAATTACTAATCCGAAATCAAATTTACAATATATAAGCTAAAATTACATACTATACGTCTACATGACTTCGAGATCTTATGTATATATCGAAAATATATGTAAAAACCGTAAAGGAATAGGTATTACGGGAATGTTTGGCGAGTGAAAATGTTATTTCAACGCAAATCATCAAAACGCAAAATACAAAAAGAAAGGAAAATTATTATTGTTAGGGGTCAAATAGCACAATACACCAAACAAAAAAAGCGTTACAACAACCATAGAGAGAATAGCCAATCAAAGTTTCCCTAATTGATGTCACGTCATATACTAATAAGAAGCTTAAGACCGACAAGTGAATAAATTATAGCTGGTTAATACACCTCATTAGGATAGAGATGTATAAATTTGAATATTAAGAAAAATGTCTATATAGATTAAATGTGGATGTGAAAGAAAGTGAATAAACTATTGTTATAACGATTGTGGTGGTATATAAAAAAATGATATCATGTGGGGTTTGTTAAACAATAAGCACTTGTCCAAAAAAAGTTGTGGCTGTGAGAGGTTCTCGAATCTAAAAGCTAATGGGTAAGTAAGTGCCTTTGATCCGAAACAACTCTTTATGTCTTTATATGTGTTTTACATCTTGTCAAATGATGAAATGATACGTTCCTATCATTCAAATGTGATAAATTAAAAAAATAAAACCGACATAGTTACGATTGATGTACATGTAAAAGTAAAACTCACGCAAACTTATATTATAAATTGTAGAAACGTTGAATATTAGCTAGTCGACTATAATAATTTTGTATAGCCGAGTTTTTTTAGGTCGTAATCCAGACTATTCAATAAGAAATTAGTGTACAATACCGTTTTAGTGCTGCAATGACTAAGGACCTAAAATAGCTAACTAATTCTAAGAAAGCCATGCATTACAATAAGATTGTAATCTTTTTTTTTATATAACGTTCAAGGGTTATATAAGAGAAGATCAGCTTTCACTTCGCACCAATAATATGGAGATAATATATGCAATAAAGACGTAGGATCGTATGATTTTTTTACGTGAATGTATATAATCTCACATGTATAAGGTTTTCTATTGTCTTTAAATCACTTTGATTTGTCTTTTAATTTGCTTTCTTTCCACTTTATTAACTAATTTATACATATGTGATATGTCATATATGCATAATTATTTTATCCAATATAGAATTAAAATCTATGCCTAATTATGATGTGGGCTAGTGCATATGTTAGATTTTATACATCTCCACTTGGCTAGATTTCTTAGGTAATCCATAGATATCAGTGCTTACGACTTTAGTTAATATTTAAGTGTGCATAATTATTAAAATTATTAAGAGTGCGGACTTGCTTGGGGTGGGTGGTAATAATATTATTATGAAAAAAATGTTGTATAAAATATGGAAAAAGATAATATTAACTAATTTGCACTAGATGGAATATGCTTAATGCATGGTCACAAATGTAGCAAACTAATAAATCACATCTAATTCTTACTTAGGAAACCTTGAAAAATAAGATCAGCTGAATCACATGCACCCAAACCAAGTTACAACACCAAGATTTAGTTTGATTGCATTTAGTTTTTATAAGTAATAACAAATTTGGCTTCAAATATTAATACTCTTTGACCATTTTATATGAAAAGTTCAATTTCGATTAATATTTTTGCTTGTTTCCGGTTTCATTTACTTTTAGAAGAGCAGAGGCCTTCAAAACGGTATAAGCACTTTTTCATATATACAGTATATAAGTTGTATGGATAAAATATTTGATCACCAAATCCTCCACATGCTACTACTACTTTTTCTATCTTTGAATTTTCTTTTGAGAGTTGAGAGACATAACAGACAAATAGATACAAACAGTCTTAAACAAAATACGACACAACAGGGAGATGCGATGCAAGTGGTAAAGCTGGAGTTGTTTGATTTAGAGGCAACCAAAGAAAAGACCCAAAGTCATTGTCACATCACACCACATATTGATTCACATGGCACCTCGTGGAACCCGACACCGACATTATATTATTCTGTCTTTCATCGCATACTTACAAATCATTGATGTTCGTGACAAATTCAAAATGTATAGGATAGTAAAAATATACGAAAGAACCTCTGTTATTTCTTTTTTACTTTACCTCGGAAGAGAGAAACCAAAAATATAGCAAAATGGCTTCTCTTCGGAGTTCCCTCCTGTTTCCATATATCATATCCCTATACAATCATCTTTTAATTCTTTCTCATAAACAGATGAGATTGAAATGGTTAAAAGGTGGCAATGAAATATTCTTCGTGTAGAGTGACCACTGAATAAAATCCGCGACCAAGAATTAAGGTATGATGATCTCAATGGAAGACTTGAGGGGAGGCGTAGTATTCACTTTCATTGAAGACAGGTCTTAGATCTTCTTTACACATGAAATCTAAAGGGAATGAGACGAGATGTCCCTTTACTGACTTTAGTCTGTCCATTGGATCGCTTCTCTTGATGTCTCCGTTATGATAAGATTCCAGCTTCTCGGGTGCTATTCCTAAGTCAATCGTTGTGTGTCCCAGTTTCTCTTTCCAATACGATATGCCTTGTCTGAAGGCCATTCTGCATATATATATCCAAAGAGGTTTCACGTCCCAAGGCCATGGATCAAATCATAGTCTTAAAATTATTTCGTGTAGAGAGGAATTCTTTTCAAGCTTAAGTTCAGTACGTAACATAATGATAGTGTCCAAAGGTGGAAAAAGAAAAGATACAACGGAATTGTACCTTGAATGGATGAGATCATTGGGCACACAAGAGAAGACATCCTGATATATCATTGTGTTTGTCTGTGTTGGGATAAATAAGCGCACAGGTTATATCGGGCCAATGGAAAAATAAAAATTTCACCATGTTATCACGTTGCTAACCTTTGCAGTTGCCATCCATATATCCTTGTAGGTTGAATCAGAGACGGGATCAATAATCTGATCAATCTACAAAGAAATAATCGAAGATCATATTTTAGCATAAAAAGCTTGAGAAGCATTTATAGTCTTAAGACCCTATTCAATCACAATCAATGTTAAAGTTCGGCAAGGTTTAGATCATCTTTCATCATTTGGTCTAAGTACAAGAATACTTTCCATTGCTTTTGAAGTTTTAAATCTGCTTATATACGGATATCTCATAAACAACTTCGTAAGAAAATTATAGAGAGAATAAAAGATATGATACAAACCTCTCCACTACGAAGTCCAAGGTGCTCGGACCACAGAGAGAGCCTCAGACTTGAAGAAAATTTTCCAGCCTTCCATGGCTTTCCTGCCATGCGGGAATCTACTAACTCTGTGTCTTCGATTAGTACTCCAATCTGATATAGAGCATAGAGACGCATGTTACAATTTTTAATGTTCAGTATACATTTGACACTAAAAAAACTTCTTCAGCATACATTAGCCTCAACTATAAACTCTGCTATAACGTGTTGAGATATCTATACTTAATTTTCCTCCCACCAACAAAAGAAAACAAAAGCTTTTTCCTAAAAACTACTTCCATATAGAGTGTTGGAAATCAATGTTTAGAACAATAAAGCACGTAAGTATAAAATATGACCTCCGAATCCCTTGAGCCAAGTAAACTCCGATCGTTGATATTGGCAGATCCAATCAATGCGGCGCGGTCATCAATTATCATGATTTTACTGTGAACATACACCTGCATTGAGAGAAAGATTTAGCATTCACGTTTTTCTTACTCACCACCACTACGTTTAAACACATGTATAACAGGCATCCTATATGGGTTGTGACCACAAAAAAAGGTAGTAATGCGCAGATATAACCCATGAATGATAGAGTTGTTACCTGACTAGTGGCGACAGGTCCATCCTCAGAAAGTTTACCATATGCCCTAAGGCCATAGAAGGAAATATAATCATGAGCCTTTGGGCCAATAGTATTGTAAAGATTATTCAGTATTGAGTTCTGTCCCCTGTATATGGTTCGATACTGCCAATGCATTATGGCTCTAACAGATGCTGCACCACTGTCGTCAATACCTCCCTGGCAGGCGTATACGTCGGTTAAGAAAATTGCAACTCAGGGGAATTTTTTTAAACAGAATACAGTTTTCTAGATGAAACTAACCTGGAAACCTGGGAGGAGAGGTATAACAACAACAACCCTGAAACTTTTCTTCTCGTTATGAGCACGCAAAATCCTCTTGTACAATGCTTCTAAGACACGGTTCTTTATTGTGTCATCTCCAGAAAGTCCTGATATGAAAAACTGATTCTAGAAGCACAATGCACACCATACAAACAGTAGTCAGAAAAATGAAGAGAATGTGAACCTATGGCCACTCCTACAGTTTCAAGAATCAAGTAACTTGTATATCTGAAATATAAAGTATGAATGAGCTGCAAGGTGGATTTTTGTAGGAGCAAGGTTATAGCGCTTTTACTTAATGCTAAGATGGCAGGTTGTTCCATGATACTCTAAATGATGCTTTAGCCATTGGTCTATCAAATTGAACTCATGCAAACCCGAGATTCCATGGAAAATAAGCTAATACCTCAATGTAGATAAAATGTTCAGCTTTGTCAATGAGAGAACGGTAAGCAGAATGGATACTCTCTTCAACTTGGCTTGTTCCAGCAGACCACTGACTGACACTTC